AATGGAGGTGATCAGTATCCGCATTCTTATAACAGTCCTAACCCTCAGGGAACATTCTAGAAGTTAGGCAATTTGTTTGTTGACTGTCCCAGTGTTTGGGGGTAGGCACACTATTTACATTTAAGAAAGGACTGGGGAAGCTAGCAGAATTGATTCTGCTATGCTAGCACGACTCCCAAACCTCTCACAGTAAACCTGAAGTGCAAATCCTGATTATCTCATCCCAGAGCCTAATTCTTTTACAAACAAGCATGAGGGGTGTGTGTATACGTACAGTTTAGTATATAATGAGTTCCAAGAGTGCAGTCACTTTCTAAATTAAGAAAAGATTGTTAATTGTAATTTGTTCTTTTCAAGTGTCATCCAAGAATGACTTTTTTTGAAATCACTTCACCAAGTCTGCAGTACCTGAGTCATTGGAGTTGATCCTGGTGTGTTGCATGCAAAGCCATTCTACATGTAGGTGCTATAACAGTTGAATTTCTTGTTCACCGGGATATGAGGTACCCAGGTATTTAGTCAAACGTGTTTCTAGGTGTTTTATGTTGGTGTTTGGGATGAGATTAACATTTAAATCAGTCGATTGAATAAGTAGATTTCCTCTCCGTTGTGGCGGGCTCATCCAGTTAGTTGAAATCAGTAATAGAACAAAAAAGGAGGTCCATTTCTAAGAGAATTACTCCTGCCTGACAGCTTTTGAACTGGGACATTGGGTTTTTTCCCTGCCTTTGGACACAAACTGAAAAATGGGCTTTTTCTGGGTCTCAAGCCTACCGCCTTGATATGGGAACTCGCCTGCACCTCTCCTGTTGCTCTGGGTAATCATAACATAAAAATATCTTCATACACACACACACCTCCTCTTGGTTCCGTTTCTCTAATATGGGAGCAAATAACCAAATACTTCATTACTAAGGTGTTTTCACAACTTTTAAAATATGCATGTTTATAAGTTAAATATTATTACCAATACTTTAATTTAGCTTGGAAAGGGAGAGTGGCCTAAAAATATGAGATATGAAAGGATTCTTGGGAGTGAGGTAAGTTGTGATCAAATTAATTCATGTGCCTAATACTATATCATAACTGAGATGGCAAACTGCATGGAATCTAGAAATGAGTGAAAGAAAACAAAAACAAGAATTTGGCTCTGTTTGTACATTTCATACACTCTCCATGGAAAGGAGTGCTGTTTCCAGTAAGAGAACAAAATTCTCTAGGGTGAACAAGGCCATTGCTAGGTGGCAGAGATTGGAAAAACCCATCTTTTAGGGTCAGATCCTCTGATCTGTTTCTATGCCCAAATCTGTTCCATTCTACTTTATAAATTGTACTTTATGGAAAAAATATGAACAAAATTATTTTGGGCAAATCATGGCAATTCCTAAAACTACCAGCTAAAAATATCAATGGAAAACAATAAAGTGACATTTTGGTTTGGATTAGCTCAAATCAGTTTCCCAAGGCAACGGAAAACAGCATAAATTAATATGGTTTAAATGGTTGGCTTGGACTCCTTGGTGGCACAGTGATTTTAGTCTCAGCGCTATCAAGCTATCACCAACCACTGTGGCATGAGTTTGATCCCCAGGCAGGGAGCTACTCAAATGGTGCAGCCGACCGACCTTTCCTGTCTCATCCGCTGTTCCCCTCAGTGTATTTCAGTGGATCTGCCTGTTCTGCTCCCCACTCTGTCTCTGGTGAATCCTCTCACCCCCCACATCTCAGGCCTACACCCCAGTTCTTGTATCCATAAATAAAAATGAATCTTAAAAAAAAAATGCTTGGCTCACCAAGGTGCAAGTAACTTAAAAGATCTTGCTTTGCATTTTTATTTTTTAATTTTTTTAAAAGATTTATTTTATTTATATAAGAACTGGGGTATGGGCCAGATTCGCGGGAAGGTGAGAGGATTCACCAGAGACAGAGCGGGGAACAGAACAGGCAGAATGACAGAAATACACTGCTGAGGGGGGAGCAGCAGGCAAGGCAGGAGAGGTCTGCTGTGTCATGAGGGTTGCTCCTCTGCCTGCCTGTATCAAACCGGCACTGCAGAGGCTGCGGACAGCTTCACAGCGCTGTGCTCAACTGCCGCGCCACCAAGGAGGCCCGGCTTTGCATTTTTATTTTTCTCTCCCTCTCTTTTAGAATTATGACTTTCTAAATACTAAAGAGCAAAGACCTTATTTGTGAACCTTGTATTGAGAGACCACGAATGCCTTCTCAGTGCTCTTCTTTGTTCTGCCCACAGATTTTGGAGACCCCTCCAGCCCCCCCATATTCTTCTAGACATCATCTTCCCTGCTAACAATTCTTAAATCATCAAGCAATCTCTAATTGTCACAACTTACATGTATGTGTGTGTGTGTGTGTGTATAAATTTTCCAGGCCAGGATGTATATGGATATTGGAAAATATTTGTAATTTAACCCCTTTAAATCCTCTTTCCAATTTCTCTCCTGGATTTTATGCTGATTCTTTCATTCTGGCTGTTTAAATAGTGTCTGTCATCTTTTTCTCCTAAGAGAAACTAACACTGCTAGCTAGATAAACTCTACTAGGTATGAGAATGTCATAAGTTTTCCTTTATGACAATCTAGATGGTGTTTGAAAAATTCCATACAAGGGATCTTTCCCTATAATATTTTTCAGCACAGTATGATAGATTTCTGCATACATTTGAAATATAAAGCAAATTATATCAAACACCCTTGATGGAACTTCTAATTCGAGTGATGGCAACAACTCAAATTTTATATAAATTATAAAATATATCTGCTTTCCCCCATATTCTTTTCCATCTGAAGGATCCACTGCCCGTGGGTTTTTTTTTTTTTTTTTTTTTTTTGTGGGCCCCTCCCGGGCCAGCGATCGAACTGGCGCTGCAAAGGCTGCAGGCAGCCTCGCAACCCAGCGCCCAGCGCTCAACCGCTGCACCGCCAGGAGAGGCCCTCTGTAACAGGGTGGTCCTCTCCCTGTCCTATAACACCTCCACTGCCCGTATTTTAAAATGTTTATTCATGAACCTATGTTACAGCTTTTAAAAACCACACACATATTCCTCTATATTTGGGTACAGAAAATAATTTGGTTATTTTTGTGAGCCTTATAAAAAGCTATATAAAACTTCTGGAGTTTATGTTTCTGAAATTCAACCAATTATTATGTACATTTCCATCATTTTCTCTGCTCTGTTACCCGATTGTGTGAATGTACCTCCAGAAAATGTTTCTTCTTTTGGTCATGAATATATGGTTGCTTTTAGTATTTTCTATTAAGAGCACTGCTCCACGCTTGCATGTCTCCAGGTCTATGTGTGCATAATATTCTCATTTAAACACTTGGGAGTAAAAACGTGTCTTTAGAGTGCCATAACTGGAGAGAAGTAGCATAAAAGAACAAACAAACAAATAGCAATTACAAATCAAAATGGAAGACGTTTTCAAGGTGAGTCCTCGCAAAGTTGAAATAGTTAAATATGCCACTTCTGAGGACTTAAAATGGAGAGATGGATTGTGATTTCTGTAACAGGGAGTAGGAGTGGAGAAACGGCAGGGACCAGTTTTCTTTCTAGTTTTTAAAAACATCTCCCAAATAAATAGCAAATACCAGTGAGATGGAGTGAGAACATGGCGCAGGTTCCGCCAGAACAGGGAGGCTGAAACGACCCCACCCGGAATTTCTTCAAAAGGGAGCGAGTAACAGCGGTCCGCGCCCACCCGGAGAACCGCGCGCTCAGGGTCCTCTCAATGGAGGAAAGACAAAGAGAAAAGGGTGTTCATTTCAAATCGCCCGCGCGGCGTCCCGATTGGCTGTCCAGGGAAACGGGGCGCTGAATGGCGCGCAAGGTAATTGACTTGGGTTCTCACCTTACCTACATTTTAAATCTCTTCGTCTTTAGCAAACCCAAACTTAGGAGACGCAAAGGAGAGCCAGCACCGCCCCCCAAACGCACATAAATGAAAAAAACGGCTACAAATGTTAGCAGGTGATAATTTGAGGAGACAGCGCTCAAGGCATTCTTTAAACAAAACCTGCCACTTTGATAATTTTTAAAAAATGGCTTCTCTTTGGGGACGAAGGGCACTTTATCTCTCAGGTGAACCTGATCGCTCTTACAATAAGATTATACAAAGCCAGCTAAACGTTGCCGCAGCACGCACTGCTTGTCATGAAGGCAATTCCTAGTAAATACTAAAAGTGAAGTAACGAGATGGCTTTACAGCAGGTAGCCGCTTACCCTCTAAAGAGCGAGTGCCAGTTCTCTTTGGAAAACGTGGTGGCTCTGAAAAGAGCCTTTGGGGCGCGGCCGGCCGGGGGCTGCGCGGGCCTCACTTGGAGCTGGTGTACTTGGTGACGGCCTTGGTGCCCTCGGACACGGCGTGCTTGGCCAGCTCCCCGGGCAGCAGCAGGCGCACGGCCGTCTGGATCTCCCGCGACGTGATGGTCGAGCGCTTGTTGTAGTGCGCCAGGCGGGACGCCTCGCCCGCGATGCGCTCGAAGATGTCGTTGACGAACGAGTTCATGATGCCCATGGCCTTGGACGAGATGCCCGTGTCGGGGTGCACCTGCTTCAGCACCTTGTACACGTACACCGAGTAGCTCTCCTTGCGGCTGCGCTTGCGCTTCTTGCCGTCCTTCTTCTGCGCCTTGGTCACCGCCTTCTTGGAGCCCTTCTTGGGCGCGGGCGCGGACTTGGCCGGCTCAGGCATGGCCGCGGACAAGTGGGGAACAGCACGAAAGCGAGACGAGTGAGTTAAGGCAGCGAGCGTGCTCCGAGCGCCCAGCTTTCTAAACAAAGAAGACCTGAGTAGAAGCCTGCGTTTGATTGGTGGTGAAGACTGGAAACGTCATATCTAATTTTGTCCAATCAAAAATAAGTGTTTTTCAAAGACACGATTCCATTGGCTGAAGTTAAACTGACATTCTAGCCAATGGCATGGGTTCATTTTCAAGCACAGCGAAGACTATAAATACTGTAGGTCTGCTTCTTTTCGCCAGTGTTTACTCAGGCTGGTGATTTCCTGCTTCATCATGTCCGGACGCGGCAAGCAGGGCGGCAAGGCGCGCGCCAAGGCCAAGACGCGCTCGTCGCGGGCCGGGCTGCAGTTCCCCGTGGGCCGCGTGCACCGCCTGCTGCGCAAGGGCAACTACTCCGAGCGCGTGGGCGCCGGCGCGCCGGTGTACCTGGCCGCGGTGCTGGAGTACCTGACGGCCGAGATCCTGGAGCTGGCGGGCAACGCGGCGCGCGACAACAAGAAGACGCGCATCATCCCGCGCCACCTGCAGCTGGCCATCCGCAACGACGAGGAGCTCAACAAGCTGCTGGGCAAGGTGACGATCGCGCAGGGCGGCGTCCTGCCCAACATCCAGGCCGTGCTGCTGCCCAAGAAGACCGAGAGCCACCACAAGGCCAAGGGCAAGTGAGGCCTTCTGCAGTTTGTAACTTACTCTTCTCGAACCAAAGGCTCTTTTCAGAGCCACCCACTTTACCATCAAAGGAGCTGTGCTTCCAAACCTCGTTTATGGGGTGCTGTGTGTGTTGTGGATGGGGGTGGAAATGAATAGTTGGTATGTAAACCACACGAGAATTAGCGAGTAATGATTTTTTTTTTTTAGAATTTTTTTAGGCTTAGGTTAGATTTAGATTTTTTTTTTTCAGACTACTTAAAAGCTTTTTGTGTTTGATCACAGCAAGGTAAAATATCCACCTGCAAAGATTTGGCACCCTGAGATTACTTTCCTTTACATGCCAATGTAAATTAGTAACTGCACGTGTCAAGTAGACATGTAAATCTGGCTCTTAGACATTCTCACTTCACTGTTTTAGGATTCACAATTCAAGAATTCACCAACCTTCACTCATCTGTTCGATCCTGACTTAAACCTTCACTCACCTGTTAAATCACCAAGTAGTCACTAGAGAAAAGCCTTCATTTCACTTACATATACATCAGTTGATGTTTACTTTTTTTGGGGAATATGAGAGAAAGTTTCATGACATTAGTCCACTGAAATACATTTCATTTGTGTTTAAAGGTTTGTATTTCCTACATTTAAATCTCAATTACATGCACCTAGTATTCCTTGCAAGGAAAGTGATCACGCCAATCAAGAAGTAAATGGGGGTCTCCCCCATGACGCAGCGGGTTGAGCACAGAGCTTTGAAGCTGTCTGCAGCCTCTCTAGGGTAGGTTCGATTCCCAGCCGGCCACAGAGATACCCACATGGGGCGGCAGACCTCTCCTGTCTAGCCCGCTGCTCCACTCAGCAGTGTTTTCTGTCATCTACCTGTTCTGCTCCCCACTCTGTTGCTATTGAGTCCTCTCTCTCCCATGCCTCTGGCCTGTACCCCACTTCTTGTATAAATAAAATATAAATCTTTTTTTAAGTAAATACTACCTTTTTCTTTTAAACTTAATGTTTATTTCACATTAGAGGACCTAAATCCTGATTTCATAAGTCTTGTTTTTACTGTTTCTCTTTAACATTAATCTACAATATTTAAGTTTGTAAATTTTAAACAAATGTTTTCTTAGAAATATCAATTAAAAAAATGATAAAGTTCCAAGGAAAGCTTGAGTTCTTTCAATTTTTAATAATAAAATAACCTGTTAATAGTGATGATGCAATTGCTAACACTTGTTTTATTCCCTTTTTCCTGTTCCCTGCAAAAACCAGCACATTTTAAAAGTGTAATTGTAATTACACGTGTGGCTTTGATTTAATCAATGGCCCCATTATTAAAAATTAACAAATGTATGTAGATTTTTAAATAAAACAAAACATTTGAGTTTGACCTTTTATTATGATTCCACATGTTAACTGAGCATTTCAAATGACTTGCTCCAAACTCTATGAAATTCCTAATTTTTACTTAATACATGAAGATGAACTATCTACATAATCAGAAAATTAAAATTTGTATCTAAATATAGAGACCATAAGTCTTTCAAATAAAATTGCCATATTAATTTAGATATTTATAATTGCAATTAGGTCCTGAAAATTTTTAGAATGTCATACTTTTTACCATAAAATTATTTTCATAAGAGGTGAAGTTCAATTATCATGGCAGATTTATGAAAGCATTATTTAAACTTTCTGGAGTTGGCTGGTCTTCCCTTTAGTTTTACCCTCAGCAGACTGGACAACTCTGAAAACATCCAACTGTCTTCCCATATTCTGTTTATTGTGGATCTTCTCTATTAGAGTCGTTTAGAATGAAGACTGTTTTACTCATACTTGCATCTTCTCCTGACACCCATATTATGACAAGTCCAAAATATATGTTCAATAAATTTGTGAATTTCACAATAATAAAAGTCTTGTGATATAAGATAAAAATAAAAAAGAAGTTGACAGTTAAATTGAGATTGCCTGGAGGAAAATGTAGGTATTGTTAAAAGAATAAGCTCACTTCATGATTTTGGCTTATCTAGAAAAAAGGTTGATCTGAATGACTTAATTAACTTGTTCTACTTCCTTCTTCCTCCTTTAATCTGTCATCAGTTTCACACTGATATAAATAAAGCAACTAATGTTAATGAATATTAACTATCTAGTAGAATAATGAAGCAGTTTTAGTAGTTTTGGGAACCAGTAGTTTGGAGGAAGGCAGGGACTTTGGACAAGGGTGTTGCAAGCACTAAGAGCAGAGAATTAGCAGGTTCCCAACAATACAAGTTTTTGAGGATCTCAAGGAAGGCCTCTCCATTTTTTTTTTTTTCTTTTTTAGCAATTTCTCCTTTTCCAGATATTGATCTGTGGTAACCATGTCAATTATTTATGTTAAAATATTAGTTTTTCTTGGTGTGGTAATAGTATATGAAGTTGAGGTTTTGGTAAAGAGGGGACAGTCCTTTTTTGTGATCATACTCTCTACCTTATATTTTTAGCTGTAATGATACTGATTAGATGTTATTTCAAAATGGAACTCCTTGATGAAGGTATGCATACATATCAGAAATTTGCACAGAAGAGGTAGCATGTTTTGTTTGTTTAGGTTAATAAATACTAAAGTATATTTTTTGCCAAAAATAGATGTCAGTAAAAATCTATTAATACATGTTAAAATTAATATGGATCTAGTCTGGCCACATTCCATCCTTAGCTCAGTAGACATCAGCCTCAATTACCCAACTTGCCCTTGGGTTGCCTATCTTTGGGGCTCCCTTACTACAAAATTAAGTATGTTTTTCACCTGATAATCTGTCTAAACCACCAACCAAAGAACTTAATTACTAGAACACCTGGGAGTGTCCTAACCAAAGCACTAAAGGAAGGAAGGAAGCCTTTTGGCCCCAAGCTGCTCAGTAGAGATTTAATTTAAAACCAGAGTTTCACCTCTCAACTACATTTAAAACAAATAGAAGAACAAGTAGTGACATTAGAATAGTTATGAGTTTTAAAGATTATAAGAATCAAAAGGATTTGAGTATAATCCTGCTTGTTAGTTAAAAAAAAATCCAATATATTCAAAGATTAGTCCATATTAGATATTGAGAAGCAAATCTTAGATTGCTAGCAAATAAAAGGTATTTTTTTAAAAATAGAAAGTTTCTGAATTTTTAAAGGACTTTGTAATTAATTTAAAATAAATACAATATTGATCAAAATCTCAAAGGACCATTTCTTAAACTTCGTAAAAATTCTAAAAGTGACTCCAAAAAGGAGTCTTGTGAAACTAGACTAGGAAATTTTGAAACAAATAAGACCTGCAGTACCAAATTGCGAATACTAATGCAGATGCAATTAAAATTTCTGATGAAATTAAAAAGAATAGCAGAAAGTAGGGGAGAAAAAATAATTTTCCCTCTACCTTCTAGGTTCTGCGACTGAGAACCTCTGTAATAAAAAACACTGACAACAAAAAAACACCTCAGGAGTTTAATGACATGTGCAGCTGAAGTATACAAGGGAGACACCCAGGAGGTCTCAACAATTAATGAAATTGTAACAGGGTGGTCCCCAGGAAAGGGGGAGGTTCCCTGCCCCACCCAAGGGAGGGTGGAGCTGAGCAGGAAGAGGAGAAGCTGAAGAAGAGACTGAGGAAGGAAGCAGGATGGAGCCAGGAGACCTGGAGGAGGCACATGGAGCCTAGAGACACGTGAAGAAGCTGCGCTTGTCTTTTGGTCGTGGACTGGGTGACACAGATGTGGGTGAGACCCATGGGGAGGTGACAATGCAGCTTTTATCTTGATGTTGATTTTGCTCTTTTCCTTCCGGCCTTGTCTGGTTGTTTCTGACCCTTTTCTGTGGGTCCCCACTGGAAGATGCTTTAGACTTGTGGCAGGCTTTGGGACCTTGCTCTGGGCCGATCCCATATGGATGGACTTTTACCCACGAGGGGACGGGTAACTTTGGGTGCTTCATTTAGAAACTAGACTCTTGGCCTTACCTGTATTGTTTCCTAGTTTTACTAAAGTTCCTTCCCATTAAAGTCTCATATGTTTTGTGTTGATGCGGCGGATGGCAGAACCCATTTAGAATAGACAATAGGCAGGTTTGCGGGGTTTGGGCTGCCCCTCTCCCTGTCCTATAACAAAATGACCCAAATGACACATCACCATCCTAAATACCATCTTCAGCCAAAGACAGAGGGGATGTGGGCAGGGAGAGGGGATTCACAGCAGTCACAGTCACAAACTGTGCCCAGAAAGCAGAGTAAACACGGTGTAGTTGTCACGCGGGTTTAAGCACCTCCCTCATCTCCAGGGGTAAATCTCCAGGGGTGAGTGCTACTCTTTCTGGCACCGGGAGGCAGACACCCCTGCGAACAGGTCACTTTTATAAACGGTTTGAGTCCCTTCGAAGGGGGTCGGTGCTGCCGTTCTCCCGTGTCTGCTTTTTCTCAAAACTGATCAGCTCAAGATCATCCAAGAGCCAAACAAGCGAGCAAGGTGTATTTGGGGTGCCTGGCACACCCGCCCCCTTGCAGTAGAAACCCCAGCATAACTGGCCCCAGGAGAGTGAGGAAGTAAATCTTGGAATCACTGGCAAAACAAACTCTGGTTGCTGGGGATTCGGTTAAAACCGTTCATGGCACTTTCAAGGAAGAACTAGAAATCCAGTTTCTTTCTGGAAACTAAAAGAAGCTGGGGGGGAGAACCCGCGTGGGGCTGACGAGAGGCGGGGCGGCCAGTCCGGTATCCGTGGCTAGGCCGGGGCCGCTGTTCTGAACGTGCATCCGCGCCCGCCGCGCCCGGCGAGAACCAGGGACCCAGAAGCTCTTTCCTTCCGGGTCGCGAACCTCCCCCCTCCCCGCCCCTCCCTCGCGGGCTCCCGCCCCTTATTCCGGTTCTCAACGCGGTCCGCAAGCTCTATATAAAGGGCGGCGCGGGCTGGCGTGGCGACGTTGCGGGCAGCTGTGCACTGTCGGCATGTCTGGGCGCGGCAAGGGCGGGAAGGGCCTGGGCAAGGGCGGCGCCAAGCGCCACCGCAAGGTGCTGCGCGACAACATCCAGGGCATCACCAAGCCCGCCATCCGCCGCCTGGCCCGGCGCGGCGGCGTCAAGCGCATCTCGGGGCTCATCTACGAGGAGACCCGCGGGGTGCTCAAGGTCTTCCTGGAGAACGTGATCCGCGACGCCGTCACCTACACCGAGCACGCCAAGCGCAAGACGGTCACGGCCATGGACGTGGTCTACGCGCTCAAGCGCCAGGGCCGCACCCTCTACGGCTTCGGCGGCTGAGTGGGCGGCCGCTCTTCTGTCTCCCCGTTTGAACAAAAGGCCCTTCTCAGGGCCCCCACTTTTTCTCCTGAGGAGCCGTGCACTGGCTTGGTGTTCGTCTTTTAGTTAAACGATTCTTCACGCAAGCGGTGTGGAGGCACATTGAAAAGACTCACCAGATACATTGGGGAGCAAAACAGGCGGATTGACTGAAATAACGCTGCTGAGGGGGGCAGCGGGGAGACAAGAGTTTGCTGCGCCATGTGGGCTGCTCCTAGCCAGGCGATCGAACTCGTGCTGCGGTGGCTGCGGAAAGCTTCACAGCGCTGTCTCAACTACTGCGCCGGCGCCGTCAGGGGCTCCCGTCTACCTGTCTCATTTTTGCTGTTGTACGATTCGGTTAGGACCTCACACCTGCGGGCTGAAAACGGGGCTGTAATGCGCGCGGTGCGCTTCCGCAGCGGCCGTCTGGCTGTTGTGAGAACGATGAGTGACGAACTTACTGTGAGTAGATAGGCCTTGCTATGGGGTTTATTAAGGCAAGGGTTTCTAAACAGGCCCTTTGGCAAGTTTAGGAACTTAAAAAGGGAATTGGGAAATCTAAATTCCAGGTGTCCGCCAGAAGAGGTTAAAGTGAGAGCTGTGCCCACTGAAGTGGAGCTTCTAGGTCTCTCCCAGCCTGTTGGCAGGTGTTGCTGACCAGCAAGGGGAAGCTAAAGAGGACAAGGGGGAGAGAAAACTGGAAGACTGGCAGGTCTTAAGTGGTGGCCTAAGGGGTTCAATCTTAGCGCTGCCACTACGATGAGGTGAGACACATCTGTTTCCCCCAATATAGCCCCCTAGCTGTGTTTTTCAGTAGATCCGCCTAATTAACTCTGGTGAATCCTCTCAGCTTTTCGTGCGCCTCTGGCCTACACCCCCGTTCTATACAAAAACATAAAAATTTTTAAAAAAAAGAATTGTAGGCTTGGAGGAGATGTGTAGCAGAGACATGAGAAAACCGCACTTGCTTCTCCGCCTTGGACTCGTGCCTGGGACTAGGGGTACATGGGAGAAGACACTTAAAAGAGGCAGAGACATGGGTGAGAGACCAGTGGGGAGCCTGACAGTGGCAGCCTTTGCCTTGACTTGGATTTTTATTTTACTCTTTTCCTTCCAGACTTGCCTGGCCCCTTGTGCCCCTTTCCTATGTGTCCCACCAGGAAGTGCCTTAGCCTTGTGGCAAGCTTTCTGGCCTCAGAGGCCCTGCTTTGGCCCAACCCTGTTTGGGCATTTACTGGAGAGAAGGTGGGTTTACTGGGAATTTTATTTGGAAACTATATTCTTTCTGATCTTTCTATTGCACACGAATTAAAATTCTTTTCTAGTAAAGGTCTCTCCCACAGTAGAGTACCCTTTGTCTTTATGTGGCAGATGACAGGACCCATTCAGAGTTCAGGCTTAGGGGTTCCAGGATACCCCTCATTCTGCCTAATAGAAAGAAACCCAAAGGCAGAGGTGAGAGCTTTAGGGTCGATGGAAACCTTGATTTTTGCAGGCAATACAGTGTAAGGTTGTATATCCCACATGTATGTAAAAGGTGAAGCTGTCACCAGTATATGAATTATATATAATTGAAAACAAGTAAAAAACTTCCTTGACTCACCAGAATTAACTTTTGTAAATTCAGATGCTAAATAAACATCCAGCCAACTCAAGTGTTTCCTCAGGAAGGATCCAAGAGCCATCTCTGAAATGTCAATTCTCTCCCAGTCTCGTGAGAGATTGAACTATCACAAAATTCCAAATCGCAAAGCCTGCTTCATCTTTTTTTTTTTTTTTTTTTTTGATTTATTTATTTTTATACAAGGACTGGGATACAGGCCAGATGCACGGAAGGTGAGAGGATTCACCACAGAGCTGGGAACAGAACAGGCAGACTGATGAAATACACTGCTGAGGGGAGCAGTGGGTGAGACAGGAGAGGTCTGCTGAACCATGTGGGATTCTTGCCGGCCGGGATCGAACCCGCACTGCAGAGGCTGCGGACACCTTCACAGTGTGCCACGCCACCTCCTGCGCCAACAGGGAGGAGGCCCCTGCTTTATCTTTTGAAAGGGTTGTATTCACTTAGCTGTGTGAGTTATTGTTTTGCAATAATCCCTTTAGCAGATTGCTTATGATGTACCTCACATTCTGGCTTAATGATTATTCAATAATAAATCTGCTTTTAGCACCCCCATGGAGAAGCTTTCTGGATGGGAGATTTCGTTTTTTAGATATATTTTCACAACACCTTCAAAGGGTCTATTAACTGTTTGTGAATTTCCATGAATTGCTTGAATAGTTTTGACAAAGCAATTTAAAAACACCCAAATGCATTAGTATTTTGTGCATGATTTGGATGTATAAATATAATTTTCATAATATTTTAGTATTTACTTTAAGAAAGCTATGACTCCTGCTGCCCACTCCTCCCCTCAGCAGTGTACTTTGTCAGTCTGCCTGCTCTGCCCTGCTCTCCGCTCTGCCTCTGGTGAATTCTATCGCCCTCCCGCACTTCTGACTGTACCCAGTGCTTGTATAAATAAATAAAATAAAATCTTTAAAAAAAAAGTCTGAAAATTATTTAAAAAAAAAAAAAGGCTATGACTTAGGGCCTCCCCTGGTTGAGCGCTGGGCTGCGAAGCTGCCTCTGCAGCGCCGGTTTGATCCCTGGCCGCCAGCAAGGGTCCCACATGGCACGCAGATCTCTGCTACTCCCCTCAGCAGAGTATTTTGTCTTTCTGCCTGTTCTGTTCCCCACTCTGGCTCTGGTGAATTCTATCACCTTCCCGCACTTCTGGTCAGGTAGGCAGTCAGGCAGGAGGCCTTTCACCAAGGACACAGTCCTGGTATGAGGAACAAACTGGGAAGCCAGTATCTGCTGAAATCAACACGTAGATATTATGACCAGATTAGCAAGATCAGCTAAAATACCTTACTTGAAAAGATAGCAGAAAGCTAGGTAAGAATGAGGATACAGATAATATGCTTTGAACAGCAGGAACAATGGACCGCAGGCAATAGCCAGCCCCCCTGGTCACCCCACCCTAGCTTACAGCCCCCATGAGTGTACACCCTTTATATACTTGCCCCACCTTTATACTTGATTCTAATAAATGAGTCTGCCTTTGGATGGGGGCTGCACATTACTTTCTGCAGCCCCCTAGGCTTCTCAGAGCTCCAAACCCACTTGAACTTTAAGTAATCATTCCCTCTTCCTGCAGGCTCCCAAAGCTCCTCTGTGAGGTGGAGCCCCCCAACCCCCACCCCGCCCCAATCTGAAAAGGTCTGTGGGACCAGCATCAATGGAAAGTGCTAACGAGTTATATTTGAGGTGATCCAAATCCAGACATTCTAATTTAATTGGTTTAGGAAAACAATCCGTTATATTTACACAAAAAACAACTTTCATTTAATTTTGGACTGCTGGAAATAAGACAAATCTCTGGCCCACATGATGTCTGGGTTTCTGTAAGGCAGTTAAATTCAATATTCAGAAAAGGAGATGAAATTAATAGACAGTGAGAACATGGAGTTATGGGAAAGGCAAAAACCACAGCATCCATGTAATTATCCTTAGTGAACTAAGGCTCTCCTCCAGTCTTTCACTTACTTACAAATGAACAAGAGATGACACTGTAAGAATAAGTTACTAGCTCCACTTGCAAAACTTGTTTTTGTTTGAATAACATAATGACCTTAGGATATTTCCCATGGCTCCATAAGATCAGAGCACCTCCCAACCCAGGCATACAATGATTTGCTGACTCTGAACTAAAAAGTGGTTTATAATGAGTTGCTCACATCCAGGGGTCACAGTCAGATGTCATTAGGTGTGAAGTATAAATAATAAGTGTTTCATATTTTTCTTGTGAGTCAGGCGCTGGTATTTAATCACTTCATTTATCAACTCATTTAGCCTCACAGCTAATCCTGTGAGTGAGACACTACTATCATCCACACACAACTGGATAAATGAAGAAACAGACTTGGAAAAAATATGTAACCTAACGCGTATTCACAACTAGAAAATGATGAAGTTTGATCACCCCAAGGCATCTGATTGCAATGACTGATCTTAAAATTTTTTACCGTTTTATATCACTTTGGGATAAAGCTGTGAAACAGGATGTTTAAATAGTAAGGGATTTTTAATTTTAGTTTTTTACAGACTAAAATTAAAACAGACTGTTTTTTATGTTCAAAATATACATGTCTTAGTGGTGCCAGATCTGATTTTTCATTAATTAAAAAGATTTTTTCATGTAGCATAGTTTAGACATTCGGATTAAAAAAAATTGTCAAAAAAATCCACATTCCATGGGAGGGCCAGGAATTTTGATTTTTTCTCTAAGTGTGCCTATAACTGCACACACACCCCCATCCATTTTCATTTATCACCAAAAACACACTTTTATCAGTAAATACTTAGCTGTCATAGAGATCTTATTTAAAAAAAAAAAGTTCCACTGGGCACATATACCATATATTTTTGATCCAGTCATTTATTTTTGGGTTGTTTCTATATCTTATCTATTGTAAATAGTGCTGCAATTCAGCAATCAAAAATGATAAACTCATGCCATTCCTGGGAACTTGGATGGAGTTGGACAGGATGATGCTCAGTGAACCAAGTCAGAGGAAAAAGAAGAATATCGGATTGTTTCACTTACAGCAGGAATGTAGGGGAACCAAAGAAAGGATAAGAGAAAAAAAAAATAAACCAAAATTAACAGGCAACTATAATCACAGAGACATTCTGAAGGGGAGGGGGAGGGATGAAAACAGGAGAGGGAGGAGCAAAAAGGACTATAGTGATGGTGCACGGGTGAATTGGTGGGGGGAATTTCACGGGGACTACACCTGAGAGAAGAAAGCAAATGTACATAAAAATGTACATTAAAATGTTTAAAAAAAGTTAAAAAAAAAACCGTCACTCACTTGATCCTATTAATGTAATTTAAATAAGGAAAAACTTTTAGACCTTTTCGGTAATGAGATCAGAGTTGCAGCTGCAGGTTAACTGGTCATAGCTGCAGTTACAGGACACCCCAGTAATCTTATCATTTGATTAATTAATGGAGAGACTAAGATGCCAATTTATGATCAGCCTGAAACTTTGCGGTTTTGTGACAAAACACTCCCCGAGTTGACACTGAATATACTTTGTGCAAGTAACACTGCAAACAGTCCAGTAAACACTTCTTGGAAAGTAATTTATGACGATTTCATTATGTGCTTTGGAACTAAAGAACAAAAAGTTTAGGGGGTAGGCTCATTATTAAAGATTTTTCCTTACAATCTCATTTCCCTGGGCAAAAGTAGGGTGCCAAAACGACCCCATCAATTTGTAAAGTTCTGCCTCAATGAAGGACGAAGGGCAGGGGCGCCCAGCAGTCGCCGAACGCGATGCGCACGCGCGAGGGAGGGATAACATGGCGCCTCCCAGTAACACAGATCGAATCTGCGGGATTAGATCACAGGTCCTCAGGTGAGAATTCAGATGAAAATTTGGAGTCCTGAAAAGGGCCATTTAATAGTTTAGAGAAAAAGAATAAGCCGTGCGCTCAGCCGCCGAAGCCGTAGAGGGTGCGGCCCTGGCGCTTGAGCGCGTAGACCACGTCCACGGCCGTGACCGTCTTGCGCTTGGCGTGCTCGGTGTAAGGGATGTTAGGGGGGAAAGGATGTCCCAAAGCTAATTCCATACAGGCTTTGTGGACTCCACCCCCACCCCAGGTCAAAGCCTAAGACACTGGGAACTCCAAATCCCATCACCACCAAAGGGAAGGTAGCTGGGACCTGAGGGTGGGGTTCAGCAGCCAGGTTGGTATAAAGCCAGACACGTGGGCTTGGAGGGGTCCCCCATTTTGGCTCTCGGCCAGCTCACAGCGTCCGGCCAGCTCTGAGAGTGCCTTTGGGTTTCCAGGTCGGCGGATCAGGTAGGACGCATTAAAGACTTTATTTCCCTTTTTTCTCCCTGAGTTGTACATTTTCCTTATTTCCTTTTCTCTTGTAAATAAACCTTTTATTAACCTTTTTGTGTGTGTCTGTAGTGGAGTATTCATAAGTCCCTTTAAAGCGCGCGGGTGAGGACCCACAGCCAGGAACCCCTTTAATATCGGGGTTGCTCTATAACAGTGACGGCGTCGCGGATCACGTTCTCCAGGAAGACCTTGAGCACCCCGCGGGTCTCCTCGTAGATGAGCCCCGAGGTGCGCTTGACGCCGCCGCGCCGGGCCAGGCGGCGGATGGCGGGCTTGGTGATGCCCTGGATGTTGTCGCGCAGCACCTTGCGGTGGCGCTCGGCGCCGCCCTTGCAAAGACCTGACATGCTGAGGGGAGCCGACAGCAACTGGCCGCGGCTGCGGCGGCGCGCGCTTATAGAGGGCGGCGTCGGACCTGTTTGGGAACCGGCCGCACCAGCCGCCTCTGCTCGGGGCCCCGGCGGCCGCCCGCGTCTTCGGGCATGGGAGGGGCGGGGCGTCAGCTCCTGGGTCTGAGAGGAAACCGGCGCGAAATTCCTCATCCCGCTTCCGCAGACACCGCTGTGCGCGCGCCTCCCCCCAGCGCGGCCTCGGGGTCCGCTCGTCCTGCCTTTCCCGGCGCCTCTCGGCACCGACGGCGCCGGCGCCTCGTCCCTGGAACGGCAAGTTCTGCCCAGGAGCCGCGATTGCGAGCCCGCGGCGTTCGAGAACTTTCTCGTATCCTAAGCGATTTCTGTGGAAACCTCATTTAATCAGTCTGAGCAATGACGAGATGCGGTTCGGGTGGGCTGATTCAGGACAGCTTCCGGTGGGGCTCTGGCCTTTCCCAGAGTTGGTTTTCTCTTTTCTTTGCCCTCGTGTACCGGGTGGCCTTCCCTCCTCTCATTCACCTCCCCACTGCCGCGGTTTTTGTGGGAGTCCTGACTCCTGTTTTCTTCTCCTCACCTGGAGGCACTTTAGGAAGTCTGAGGGAAATCAGCTTATGTCTGCCATAGCCTTGGCGAGCGGACAAGGAAGCAAACATGCCCTTTCTTTGTTGAACTGGGAGATGTCACCCTGAAATCCTGTGCCTTAAATTTACAAATAAAGTGCATCATGTGAAGGCGAGGGAGGCGCTTATTCCAGGAAAAAGAAATGCTTTCCCTCTTCGTGTCTGATGGGCCATTGGGCTTGACCTTCCCCTGGCCGGGCTTGTCTTCAAGGATCAGGTTCTGTCCTTGGCAACTGCCTTCTCCCGCCCAGTCCCTCTTCCCAAGCATCAGCAATGCCCGCCCTGCATATTGCAAATGTATGAGTGATTACCCTCTGAAGTAATAAGCATTCCACGACTCAGTTTCCAAGTTCTTAGAAACACCTCTCAACTTACCGTAGGTGCAAAATAGGATCCCATCTTGTGCAGGCCTGGCCTTCACTATGTAATCTAATTTCCCCAGGTGACACTGGAAGGAAGTAAATGGTGCCACCCATGAAGCCTTGGTTGGCACGTGGAGCTGAAGGCAAATCCAACCTCAGCAGACACTGGAAAGGCTTTTTTTCTTCCCCCATCACTGTGTAAACTCGAGCCTGGGCCAGCAAGAGAGCTTTTTTTTCAAACTTTTCATCAGACTTATTTGCTTAGTAGGACAAACCTTTGTTACCCAACATTATCTGTTATGTGAATTGCCTTCCTCTCCTTAGAGCCCCCCATTCCCCAGAGCTCGGGGCCCCTGTGCCTCCTCTGTTAGCTTCCTTTGAGTCTCATGTCTATGTAGGGCTCCCATATCTATGTGTGGAATTAATTTTTTTCCACTGTGACTTTTATTACAAGGGAATCTCAGTCAAGAACTAAGATGAATACAGGAAAAAATCAGTTTTACTTTTATTGTTCGTGAATAGGCCTCCCCAAGATGTCAAGAATAAGCCTTCACACGAGGTGCCACCTGCTATGTGAATTTCTTTCAAGTGGAGGTCAATCTTGGCCTGGCAGTCTCTAGAGAAACCTTTAGCACTCCATTTATTATTTAAAAATGAAAATTAGGGGACTCCTTTGTGGAGCAAGGGGTTAAATCGCAGTACTATAAAGTTATCCGCAGCCACTCCAGGCCAAGATTGGTCCATCCCAGAGACTGAACAGTGAGAGCCATGGTGATAAGCTTGGAACCATGGCTGAGGGTCTGGGGTATGTTTGATTACATCAGGTCATCAAGCAGATAAAAAAATAACTGGTTATCAGACTCTTGTGCCCCTAGATAAGCACATTTTCAGTTTCACCCACCCTTTATCTCTTTTCTCCTACCCCAAGTAATAATGTGCTTTGTTTTTCTACTTTATTTATTTATTTTTTTTTTTAAAGAGGCACTAGACTTGGGACATTTTATTTATTTATTTATTTGTTTGTTTATACATGCACTGGGTACAGTCAGAAGCGCGGGAGGGTGAGAGAATTCACCAGAGCCAGAGCGGGGAGCAGAGCAGGCAGAAGGACCGAAGTACACTGCTGAGGGGAGCAGCAGGCAGCAGGAGAGGTCTGCGCGCCATGTGGGACCCTCCTCCCGTGGCCAGGGAGCAGCCGGGGATCGAACCGGCGCCGCAGAGGCTGCGGGCAGCTTCGCAACCCAGCGCTCAACCGCTGCGTCACCGGGGAGGCCCTGTTTTTCTACTTTAAAAGAAAGTAAACACCGTGTAATTGTTGATGCTGTATGATTATTCTATCAATAAAGAGGCCAGGCTCTAGCTCTTTGGTCACCTTCCTGCATTGTACAGACTGCGCCACGACTCGTGTTTGTCAGTGCGGTGTTGTCAACGAAATACCTCATAAATTATTCGTGGACACTGGTGAATGCAATGAAAACCTCTTTTGCGGAAATTGTTGTAAAAATAAATACCCTAAAATCTGCAGACCGGTTAACACAAGAGCATACAAATTTTATTGAACTTACAAGAACAGGGAAGGCCACCAAAAAAAAAATCAAGCCAACAAACAAAAAAAGGGGCCACAGTGACTAGAGCAAAAAGCCGCAATCCTTTTGTGCAAAGGAGCAATAAATTGTGAATTTACATGACAAATGTGCTTAAGTTACAGATAGTAAATTGTGCAGTTACAAGGCTGTCCATATAATTTTACAACCTGAAACTCCCATGTCTGCTTGTAGGGTAAATAGTTTTTCAGGCTTTTTTGCCCTTGGACCATTAGGATTACCCTCCCTGATGGGGCACCTATAGTTGTTACATTGTTGCAATGTAACAATGTCTTCTTGGCTAAGTAACAAGTAACAAGTACTTGTCTAAGTAAACTGTCTTGTTTACTTCTGTGGGCCTTGGGAGGAGCGTTGAGATAGTCACCAAGGGAAGCAGAAGCAGAAGAGAGGAAGGAGAGAGAAGGGGAGAAAGAAAGTCAGAAGAGAAAGCGAGAGAAGCCCAGAGTGAGGACTTGCCAGGGGGCTAGGAGGCCTACTGGCACCCCTGCCTGCCGCGTACCTGGTTGCTGCACTACATGTAAAGCTCAATAAAAGCCTGAGAAAAGCACTGAGGGCTCCAGGATTCTCCTTTACCGACTGCTCAGATCACAGGAAAACCTGCTCTGCTGTCATCCTGCCACTACAGTTGGCGTAAGTCAGGAGAGTAATTCGAAGCAGACGGGTATGGAGCCCTCTGAAGACCTCAGGAGGGATTGAGGAGAAGACTGTGTTTTCCTGTGACAACGCTGGACGTGCCACGGCAGCACAGGAGATGACCAAAGTCCAGAAGCTGTGGAAAGAGCTAGAGATGCTGCAGGAGCACAGGAGATGGACAAGGTCCAGGAGCTACAGGACGAGACCTCACGTGGAGGAGGAGACGGCCTTCGAAGACCAGCCCAAGACCTCTAAGGCAGCAAAATCGTTGGGGAAGAAAGGACCATGATTTGGAGCTCGCCCAGTGCTGATGCAGTAAAAGACTGATGGACTCGGACTTAAAATCCCGCCAGAAGGCGAGGAACTTTGGCAGGGTAATGTTCTGTTTTTGGGACCTTGGGGGAGGATGGTATTATTTGTACACCCCAGGAGATGGTAATCTGGGGGTGGCCAGTGGGTCTTGGTAGCCAGAAGCAGTCTGTTGTACTGCCCAGCAGCTAGACAGAGGTCGGAAGCCAACTTAGAAAGGCAAAAGCTGGTGCTGAGATTGGGAAGCCCTGAGTGGCTGTTAAACAGCAGATGCTAAAGAAGGCCAGCAAGTCTCTTAAAATCACCTGTGACTGATGCCCTGCTTATGGTTGAGTGAGGGTGAGTTGTTGAGGAACCACCTGTTCTTGGGGGACAGGTGGGAAATATGGCTTGTGGTGGAGCCCACAGCCAAAGAGGGGACCCAAGAGAGGCCACATGGGGCACTTGTATCCATGGATCCCTGACCCATGAGCATGTGCAATGGGTTGGCCTGAGTGCAGGGGTCTGCGTGCTGCATTGATGGCTATGAAAGCCCAGTGTTGGAGTGACTACAGACAGAAACCCTGAGGATTGGGCAGTTACCCCCAAAGAGTACTGAATTGCCAATCCCAAGAGTGAGTGCATCCTGGGGGTGGATGCGGTGTGTGGCTTGTGGCCTAGACCACAGCCAGAGAAGGCCAGGAAGCCTGATGCCTCCTGGTGTGTGATGGCAGATGCCTGAGTGGTTCCCTGTCTCTATGAACAGTGCCTATGGCAGCAGAAGTGGTAGATCATCTGCTGTTGCAGTAATTGTCTTTTTGCCACTAGGTTGGTGCCATGCCTAGAATTATTTGTGTTCTATTGTATTGTTTCATGGTTATGTATTCTATTTTCTTTTGTGGGCTATAGCTGCAGTGTTTATGTTTGTTAAGGGAAATGTATATATAGTTGTATATAAATTGTATGGCAGATCAGGGTTTTCTGCCCTACAACCATTAGGATGGCGCTGCTTGATGGGGCACCTGCAGTTGTTACATTGTGTGTTGTTTACTTGAGGGGGGGGAAGAGAGAGAGAGAGAGAGAGGAGAGAGAGCAGGACTCTCCTTTACCGACTGCTTAGATAATAGGAAATCCTGCTCTGTGCTCATCCTTCCCGCACACTGACATAAAACTCCCTCCAGAATCACAGGATCCTTTCACTTGTGTTACCTTTCTTGCTTTGGGGGAATAAGGGCGAGGTGGGGGTCAGTAATCTTCTGTCCGGAGCCGTCCGGAGTATGTGCCATGTTGCATATGCGTGCCATGAGTTCGCTTTACCGTTTCGCCTTTGGAGAACCACAGGTTTTTCCTGTAAAGCACATGAGACTGGGAGGTACGGGGGGAGGAGCTACGAGGGTATAAGAGGAGAACGCGGGAGAGAGAGGAGGAGAAGAAAAGAGATTTAAGAGGAGAACCACGAGAGAGGAGAGTGCTGC